AGAGAGTCTTATTGATCGTTCTAGATCCCACGAGAAACACACCGTAAATATATTAACGGTTAACAGGCCGCATGACGTGTAATTTCTGGATAGTATTTGTTTGTGCGTGCACTTTGACATTATATTTTTACCTTCAATATTATTTATTCGTCATTATGGCAACACGAGGTTGAGTAAATGACCCAATGTTATATTTGTGATAAAACATTATAGAATTCGTCAAACAAGTGTATTACGAGTATTTTGGAATAAAACTCGGAGACCAAGACAAATCATGGGCTCCGTAAAGAGTTTGCGCCGTTTGTTCGAAGAGTTGAGACAATAGATTAAAGGTAAGAAAAAGTATTTGCCGTTTAGAATTCCAATGGTTTGGCGTGAACCTAGAAACGACGGAGATGACTGCTATTTTTACTCGTGTAACGTGCAAGGCTACAACATTCGAAATCAAAAGGAAATTTTTTATCCGAACTTTCAGTTTGCTATAAGACCTGTTGCTCATGGACCTGATGTACCTGTGCCTACTCCACCGGAGACTCTAGATACAGTTTCATCTGATTCTGAATCTGATGTTAATAGAAATGATGATAGGGATTGTTTTAAACCTGAAACGTCCGGAAAGGTTTCATCAAGACATCACGGAAATGGAGAGGAGGTATCAAGGAAGGTGGAACATCAGCATGATGGCTGATTACTACTGGTCATTGACACGAGATGCTCCAGACGCAATACATAAAAGAAAGACTACAACACGTAGTTTTGAGACTAAAAGACGTAGATTTCACACACACAAAAAGCAGGATCAGTGAGAATGTATATTCGTTTAACATCAATGTTCTTCCCTTTTCTTCAATCTGTTTGCATTTTTGTTATTATTATGCTTATAATATTTGATCTAAGTAAGTTTTTTTTTTCCCGATTTGTAAAAATTCCTTACGTGATAGAAAAAACATGAAAATTATTTTCGAAATCTGCATAGCTTAATTATGGTAAATCCATTATTAAAACCAAAACAACTTTTATGAAGTATAAATTCGCAGGCCTGTGTAATCAATACAACACAAAATAATTTAAACTCACGAAACCTTAATAGAGAAATAAAATCTTAAGCACCAGATTCTAATACCAGAAGTAATGAAATTTATATCTATCTATAGCTCTGCTTTAGAAAGATGATAAAGTGTCAATATAAGAAAATTATATATATTGTAGAATCTTTTACAGTAATAAAACAGGGGATTAAAACCTTGTACAGCAGTTTGATAAAACGGAAACTAAATAGGAATATTGTCCTAAATTACCAAAAAGCATATGGAAAACAATATAAAAAAATGACGCATAGATGCGTTGTGAGTGTAACAATCAAATCCCACTATGCTATTAGTGTACGTATCTCAAGATTTGGCGGTGGTAGCTGTTGACTAGCTGCTTTTCCTCTAGTCTATTAGCTCATAATCTAGGATGGCTTGAGCAGTTAGCTTGTGTAGCTTTGCATTTATATACAAAAGACAAACAACAACTAACGTTGAATAAATTTGAATTTATAAAGTTGAATTTAGGACTTCTTTAACAGGGACAATAAATATTCTGATTTTCTTCTTCTTCCTATTTATTATTTTAAGAAATTACATAAAATGAGTTCCAGCTAGTTTCGGTTTCTACATAACTAAAAACTTACGTTTAATCTCTTTGAGTTTGGTGAACATTATCCAATGAGTTTTCAATAAATGTTTGATTTTTCTTTAACGAAATAAAACCATAACCTTATTGTATATAATGACAACTGTTTTCTTAGGTCAGTGTATTTCTACATCAGAATAATTAGACACAAACAGTCATTCCAAGAGCAAGACAGACATCCAATCATTATCTATCTATCTATCTATATATATATATATAATAGCCAAGTGTCTTTCTGTCACGCTCTGTATCTCCTGAACGGTTAATCGTAATATATATATATTAACAAGCTTCTTCTGAATAGTACATTACAGGAAAATTGTTAATATTTTGCAATTCCTAAAATTTCATATCGATCCGTCAGTCTTCATATGTGCTGAACAGTCAGTTTGAGAAAGAAACTTATTAAGGTCAAAAATATTTATTTTTGTAAGGGAATTTTAAGAAGAAAACTGGACTTCCTCCTTTGACTTATTGAAAGAAATATTTCGAAGATAGGAAGAAGCATGAACAGAAAAAACGCATAAAGAAAGGATGGTGTTTGAGTATATATTTGTAGTTGTTTGGTTTATATGTATATTTCTTGTCGATATTATATACATACATGATTTCATTGTACCACATTGAATATATTTATTTCATTTAAATTGAACATCTCCTTTTTGACATTTCTTATAGAAATGAAAACTGTCAAAAAAAGTGCTCACTTTGGTAACGGTCTTTTTTTGAGCTCAGTAAAATGACAAGGAAGGCTGGCATCCAGCGGAAAAAAAAAAATCCCTGCAGCTACTTTAAGCCTACAATGCATTGCAGTGAGTCTTCTTCGCCTAAAATAAAACCAATAAGATTCTTTTTATTGAAATAACACGTGTAGTGACAAAAGACGATTGTAAATGGCCCACTAAACGATCACATTGCGTGTACGCTCTGATCCAAGGGATTGGGTTGACCGCACATTTTATTATCTATTTATTACTATTTTTAGGAAAATTACCGTTGAAGTGTTTCAACAGACATCTGATAGTAATAAGTAAAACACAATTATTCATGGCTTTAAAATCAATGTTTACAAAACAAACAAGCTTACTGGAGACTATGATTGAGAAGATTAATACTAAAATGAAAGATGTTATGATGAATCGTTACTAATAAAGACATATTGTAGATGACCTAGACATAGCTATTTAAACTTTCATACACTTCACCTTATCAAGTCAGTGCCTTGAATGTTGGTCTTGGCACCTATCGAGATTGTATTCTTAAGTTTGTTTAGAATGATAATACCGATTAACGCTTATTAAAATGCTTTTAAAAAGTATTTTAAATCACAGTCTTTGGGAGAGCTATTTCTAAAGTCCAGAAAAGCAGTCGTGTTAAATGACTATCCTAATTTACAGCTATTCAATCAAGACAAAATATATCGTATATTTACACAGCGCACAAAAGTAGACATTCAGTATTGGAAATAATTATGGAAACGTATAGATGATACACTTACAAGATTCCCTAAAAAAGAGCAATTGGAAATAACTCGCACTTCACCCAAATGGTGTTCCAGGTCCTGTACTCTTACTGGAACGACATGTTATTTTGAACGTCATGATGACGCACTATTGTCCGACATTGTAAATAACTCCTGCGAGGGGAGGCGAGGTCAGTTTTAGATCACATATCTTGTTAAGCTTTCCATAGACTTTCCAACCTACGTTGACGTCGAAGTCCAAACCCACGTTTAAACTGATCAAAAGTACAAATATTCGTTGTAGTTGCATCAGAAAAACTTGACAGGAATGTGTTAGAGTGGGAAATGATTTGATTCCAACGTGGTTGCATCAGAAAACTTGACAGGAATGCGTTAGAGTGGGAAAAATGATTTGATTCCAACGTGGTTGTATCAGAAAATTTTACAGGAATGTGTTAGAGTGTGAAATGATTTGATTCCAACGTGGTTGTATCAGAAAACTTGACAGGAATGCGTTAGAGTGGGAAAAATGATTTGATTCCAACGTGGTTGTATCAGAAAACTTGACAGGAATGCGTTAGAGTGGGAAAAATGATTTGATTCCAACGTGGTTGTATCAGAAAACTTGACAGGAATGCGTTAGAGTGGGAAATAATTTGATTCCAACGTAGTTGTATCAGAAAATTTTACAGGAATGCGTTAGAGTGGGAAATATGATTTGATTCCAACTTTATTGAGCTATCTCTATCATGTAAATATTCATTGATATTGAGGCATGGCTAGAAATTGTGAAATATTGGCTTGTAAGCCTTCATGAACTTCAAGTACTTACTTATTATCCTCCTAAAGTATAAGTACTATACCATCTTCATCACAAGTATTTTATAGATTAAAGGGTTTTCTATCGTAATATTAGTCTTCACTTGGTGTATAAAGTAAGTGCTCTTGTAATGGCTTCGGGACCCGCCGTTGTTCTAAATGTTCTGATCTTTTGTCATTTATCTGTAACTTCATTTCGTAATCTATTTATACGAATATCTTTCCTCAGAAAGGACTAGGGCATATTCCTCCAGCCATAGTTCTACTCGAGGGGGTATTGCATTGTTGAGTAGTCGAAAATTTACCTTGAATCAAATATTTAAATACTAAATATATCGCGCGTTGCATCAACGCTCACTTTTGCGGCAACATGTCATTGTATTATAATATGTAAATTGATCTTTTAAATGTGACTAACCTTCTTCCTATAAACATTGATGTTTTTACTGATACTGAAAATTCCTGCTAATATTGCTAAGCCCATAGGAAGCCTAAATACTACTCGGGAAATATGTTGCTTTGCATTATAAATTTTATGTTTTAGATGTTGTTGTTTGTTATTAATGCCCACAACGGATATCGAAACCAGTTTTATAACAGTATAAGTCCGCAGACATACCACTGTGCCACTGGGGTGCAATATTTTATATGGGTGCTCGCTTTTCCGAGAAGCATAATTCAGGTTCATTACCGAAACTTAGCTTTCATAACCAACGACGGTGTGTACACATACACTAGTGTATAGATATGGGAGCAGGGCAACTGCCGGTGGGACAATTATCAGTATAGCACAATCGCCCGTGGACAACTGCTGCCTTTATATGGTCAATTTTTAAATAGATAGGTCATGGGCACCAAATTAGCTTTGATCAAAGAAAATAAAACAATGTTACAAATGAGTTCTAAAATTTACGTATATACTATTATATAACATTAGCTATTAGCAATTTAATAACAAGTAGTTACTAAATGGAAATGAAAATTGTTAACGGCCTTTTGGTTTAAAGTCTAAACAATCCTCCTTTAAAGTACATGTACTCACTTTTCTTTTGGGAATTTGGATTACTCAGATCTTTTGACTGGCAGTTGTCCTAGACTCTATAGTTATATAGATTGTAATGAAGACAAAAACACATTAACGCTATTTGTACAAAGGACACCCTATGTTGCTTTAAATTTTTAAAACTTTTGTCTTTTGTTTCACACTCTTGCATGGATAACGTTTTTGAAGTGCACATATATGTACACAGCGTGGTCACAAGTAAATAGACACCACCTTTTCAGAAAAAATCAAAATTTTCAGTCATATTCACATGAATTGATATATTTATAATTGAATTAATATCAAGTAGATCTTCCTTTCACTTTGTGGAGTTCGTTGATCCTTTGGGGCATCGTGAGAATCATCTCGACAATTTTAAATTGTAGGATTTTCGCCCACTCTTGCTTCAAAACTTGGAGTAGATCGCTCTTTGAAGTTGGTTTTTTGGTTGTTTCTTGACTTGCCGGTCGAGTATGGCCTAGAAGTTGTCGATGGGGTTCATGTCAGGAGATTGGCTCGGCCAGGGCAACTTCTGGATACAACTTT